AAAAAAATGATATTTTGACAAAAGCACAACTGGAAGACAAGATTAAACATAAGATACATTGGTATAAATATCTTCAAATAAGACATCTTTTAGACTCTCCCCCTCTACAATCAATGAGAACGCGCCCCTTAACTCCGCTAGAACAATTTTTAGACAAAGAACCCAAATTGTTTCACAATCTTACCTCCTTAATTTACAAACAACTAAGTCATAATAGAGAAGAAAAACTTACGTTATATCAAAAGCAATGGAAAGAAGATTTAAAAATCGATTTGACTGAAGAAGACTGGCAATTAATATGGGAAGGATATAGCAATAACACGAAAATTATTCATGTACATATGCTTATGTCAAAAATTATTATGAGATGGCATATTCCACCTATTAGACTTTCTCGCATAAATAAAGAATATAGCCCGTACTGCATGAAACAATGTGGTAATAAAGCAGACTTCATACACTGTTGGTGGACTTGTGAGTATATACAACGGTTTTGGGAAAAAATTATAGAGGAAATTAAAGTTATTTGTGCGGTAGACTTACCTTTTTCCCCTGAGGTATTATTGCTGGAACGTTGGCCACATCCTAGAAAATTTAAAAACAAAGAAGAACTAATTTCAATGTTATTAGCAGCCGCACGTCAACTTATTGCTACAAAATGGTTGGAAAAGAATCCTCCTAACTTAGAACAATGGTATAACAAAATATGGGAAATGTTTATTATGTATAAATTAAATATAAAAATGTCTAATGCATCTCCTGACAGGTAGTTGCTGTATGGTACCCTGTTGTAAGTCACATGTTAAGTAAGGATATAATTCCAAACAATCCACAATATAAAAAAAGTATCTGAAATTCTTAATCGGGAAAACATCGAGACAAGTATGACCCAATAATGCCTTTCAGGTGATACTGTAACAGGGTTGGAATGCTATGAAACATTGATGAGGAATTTATCATCTCTGTGTTCTGTGGAAAGGGGGGCTATGAGAAAAGGGGAGACTACACCCAGACCAAAGAGTAATAATTGGTACGATGAGGAGTGTAGGGAACTGAAGAGATCAATTAGATCACAGTTTAGAATAACTAAGAATACAGGCCATCAGAATGATATAGAAAAGATTAGATTCCTTAAACAAAAATATAAGAAGACTATCAAACGAAAGAAAGAGCTAACATCTCAGAAAGATTGGTCATCCCTCCATCTAGCGATAGCAAATAAGGATCACAAGCTTTTTTGGAAGCTAATTAAAAACTCTTCCTCCCCCTCATACCACCAGGCAGATATAACTCCATCTCAGTGGATATCTCATTATAGTGCCCTCCTTCAAAGCTCAATGGAACCCATATCGATCGACCATTTGGCACACAGCCCTTTAGTTGAGAACATTCGAAGTTGGCCAGCGGTCCTCCCTAGCCAAATAATTAATATAATAAAACATTTGAAACGAGGAAAAGCTCCCGGCCCGGATTTTATTCCTCCTGAATTATTCCTTATGAACCCTACTTGCTGGGGTTCTTGTTTAGCTTCCATCTTTTCATTAATAAATAATTCCGGTGCTATACCAACCGAGTGGAGGCGCT